AGCAACTCAACGATCTCCTTAATAAGATGCAGCAGCAGTTTACCTTTCTCTCTTCCTTGCAGCACAAACACGCAGCAGCAGAAGCAGCAGCAACAGCAGCAGCAGCAGGACGACCTAATAGGTTTCGCCGCGGCCGCCACCGACGGGCTCGCCCCAAAACGCGGCTCCGGGGGAGCAGCAGCATCAGCAGCATCAGCTGCAGTGAAGGCAACGGCAGCAGCAGCAGCGACAGAGGCAGCAGCAGCAGCAGCAGGTATGCCAGCAGCGCGCGGCAGCAGCAGAGCGTCAAGCAGCAGCAAAAGAAAGCGAAAGATGTTTGGGTGTTGGAGGTGCCGGAAGACATTCAGCAGCTGATGGACTCTCTAGAAACAGCAGCAGCAGCACCAGCAGCAGCAACAGCAGCACGAACAGCACCAGCAGCAGCAGCAGCAACTGCTGCAGCAGCAGCAGCACAAACACAGGGAGGCGGTGTTGCGATCGATGCCGCAGCACGCAACACGCACCTGCTACCAGCCGGTCGCGGGCCTTTGGGTGCAGCAGCAACAGCAGCAGCAGCAGCAGCAGCAGCAGCAGCATCTTCAACTGCTGCTACAGATACCCAGAAGCAACGGGGTCGGCAGCACAAGTCGTTTCGCTTTGCTGCAAGCCGCAGTAACGGTGGCTGCTGCTGCAGCAGCAGCAGGAGCAGCAGGTGCTGNCGTTTCGCTTTGCTGCAAGCCGCAGTAACGGTGGCTGCTGCTGCAGCAGCAGCAGGAGCAGCAGGTGCTGCTGCAGCTGCAGCGCCAGCTGCTGGGAGCTGCAGCAGAGACTCGCCCAGACAACGGCGAGTCTTATAGTGAAGACGCAGCTACTGATAGCGCAGGAGAGAGCCAACAACGAGTTGCAGCAGCAAGCAGCAGAAGGTGCAGCAGCAGCAGCAGCAGCAGAAAGTGCTGCTGCAGCAGCAGAGAAAAAACTGTTGTGCGCCTTATCCCGCAGCGCATCCATGCATGCACAGCTCAAAGCTGCTGCTGCAGCGCAGCAGCAGCTGCAGCAATCAACAAATGCAGCAGCAGCAACAGCAGCAGAGCTGCAGCAAACAAACAAACAGCTGCGCCTACGCCTTGAGGCTGCCAGTAGCGAGAGGGACACATGGAAGCAGCAGCTGCAGCAGCAACTGCAGCAGCAGCTGCAGCAGCAACTGCAGCAGAGATGCGAGTGCAGCAAGACACAGAAGAAGCAGCAGCA